TTGTCCTACGTGTTGTAAGATGTCTAGGGGCATCCCTGGCCTGACTTCAACACACTACATGTCATCAGCACGTCCATCTCCACTTGTGACACCCGAAAATATCTGCAGGCATTTCCTGGTATCCCCCGGTGGGCAGGGCATGATCACTCCCGGTTGGTGACCACTTGTGAAAGTATGGACACGTGATAACCCCATGCTTTTAATCCGGATGGCATTTGTAGCCGATATCATGTGCTTCGGAGTGGGAAAGGAATTTTGTTTGCTGCCAGTGGAAAAATAGCCTTCATTCTTCATCTTGGGGCAGGTGCTCTGTAAGGTCTGGGCCAACATAGAGGACTGCTTTGTCTGTACTGGCAGTATCAGAACGGAACATGAAATGAGCATGTCCGATAGAAGGCGCTTGCCAAGCAGGGCTCTGGCATGTGCTCATTTGCCAGCGGTGGCTTGTCCTCTGCCAGATTCCTGGCTCCTTCTTGCACAGTCTCCCCCTTTGTTGGATGTCTTGCCAGCTGGAGCCACACCATCTGCGCTCCCCCTGGTCCCAGCTCATGCCAGCTTGGCTTCCCTTTACTTCTCCTGTGTGCATCTTTCATTCTTAGAGAGGAGTAGCTTTATCTAAAGCAAGGCCCAGATGAAATTATATGCTCTTGGGGTACTCAGTAGGTACCCCAAGGAGTGGAGAGTAGACACTCAAACACACTCCCGTACACGAGTGTTCCTAACAGGGTCATACACGATAGCCAGTGCCTACCACCTGCACAGTGGAACGAAGTAGATCCCTTGGTACATTGGGCTGGTAAAGGAATGAAGCGCTGGTCCATGCTACCAACCTTGAAAGCAGAAAGAAGCTACACACAAGAGGCCCCACGTCATACTGTAGAACTTACACTTCCACGAACTGTCCTAAGTAGGCAAGTCCACAGAGACAGAAATCCAGCGGGCAGTTGCCACACCTGGTCAGGGGGCAGTGGGGAGTGATTGCTTAAAAAATTGAGGGTTTTCTGTGCAGTGATGGGAATGTCTTGGAATCTGATGTAGGTGGTAGTCACATCACATTTGAGCATACTAAATGCCACTGAATTGTTTGTACGTTAAGTGATGATTTACCCCAACTGAAAACAAGGAAACGACCGTGAAGGTTACAGGGACAGGTCAAGTTAGATTGAATCATGTGTGTGACGTTCTTCATTTTTTAGGATTTCCTATCGGAGTGACGAAAATATTTCGGAATGTGATGTAGCTTTTAAAGTCTTTATAAATTGCTAATGCTTTCCTCATAGGCAAAGAATGTAATTTCCAAAAAAAATGACTGCTTATGAAGAGAATGCTTTTTTAAGATTGGAAAACATAGCATTAGAAAGAATTGCTCATCTCTTGTGATCATCATTTCTTATATTTATTTTTAAACCTCATAAGTAGTTTTACAGATCTGCAGAGATGCCCCAAAGCACTATTGAAAAGTGATGTAAAGGATTTGGTGTCCAATGGGAATAAATGAACCTACCTGTTTTCATTTAGGGTGAAATTTAGGGGAGAATACTGTTGACTCTGCACACCATTTGGCTGGACTTTGTAACTGTGTAAATTACATATATTACAGTGTATTTAAATAAATACATAATATAATCAAAACAATTACTGCGTGAAGATTTCAAGAGCAGAAAGTTAATCGTTGGTGAATACTAGCTCACGTGTGTTTAAATGTGGATCTGTTGGTGAGATGTTCAGGTCTTAGGAATGTTGCTTATAAATCTTAAAACCGATGAAGTACTAACTGGTGCTTGTACTTGGAAACTGTGAGAAAAACAGGGAGAGACTGGCAGGCCTTCCTGGGTCCATTTCTTTAAAACTGTCTCTTAGTATTTCTGAGTTTCCCCCAAAAAAATCTTCAAAGATGCTAATAAAAGATTCACGTATGGTGACACACACCTGTAATCCTAGCAGTCTAGGAGGCTGAGGCAGGAGGATTATAAATCGAAGCCTAGCTTGGGCAATTTAGCAACTTAGTGAAATCTATCTCAAAAGAAAAAAGGCTGGGGATATACCTCAGTGTGAAGGCCCTGCATTCAATGCCAAGTTACTGCCAAAAAATAAATAATGCTAATAAAAATAGATCCTGTTCTGGGCCTACAGCTTAGTGGCAGAGCACTTGTCTAGCATGCATGAGACCCTGGGTTCAGCACCCAGCATTGCAAAAACCAAACAAAGCAACTTCAGAGAATTCCTTCAGAGTTGTGGTATCCTACGAAAATGACACATTTCCTTCTGCTATTTTGTAATAAAATGAAGGCAGACATGCAGGCTCTGAAGTTTATATTATAGTACATACATAGCTACTGTAATACTCTAGTTGGCTAGGAATGTGGTATGTCATTCATTCATTAATTATTTAGCGTGTCCAGCCTAGACTATGGAAATCAACGTATGCAAGATGAAGTTCTTCCTCCTGTAAGGGCAGGAAAGGTATAATGCCTGTTCTGAATGATGTGACAGGAAGAAATGCAGAATACAATGAAGGAGAAAAGAGGGCTGGGAAAGAGGTCTTCCTGGGGGATTCTATATTTCTTCTTAGGGAATAGGCTAAAATATTACACTGTCAAAAATATAGTGTTAGAAAAAAGAAAACCCATTTTTTTTCCTCATGTAACAGTCCTAAATAGAGTATTCTGAAAAGGGTAGGTAACAAACCTCTAAGTTCATATGAGGAGGAAGGGGATCCAACTTCCTTTATTCTTGTTATTCTCCCATTCCAAAGGCTCCGAATTGGCTCTGAGCAACTCATGACTGGTGCTTTAAAGGTAGGATGACAAGTTGTTCGTGCTACTCCACATGTCTGCTTGCACTCTATCTGCAATACTTCTTACATCAGCTGAGAGATGACCCACAAGAACCTGACACCACCTACACAGAAGGGCTTATCAGGCAGTATACATGTTCAGTAGGCCATGCTATGTCATGCCAAGAGCTGGTGACAACCAGAAAATTAGAATCCATTTCTCATTCACCAAGTCTTGGCAGTAACTTACAAGAGGAAAGAATACATAGCATTTGTGAAATAATTTCTACCTCACACCAATATTTGGCATTTATCTCAACTTCCTAGCGAGCACCATTTATTGATCATGCTTCTACTTTAGATATTAACAGTGGAAAAATCATTCATGTTCAGATATTGGGACGTTTGATCTCTCATTTTAATTTATTGTTTCTAGCAGTGAACTAATTAGTTTTGACATGTTGTATAACCAGAAGGATGCTATTAACCATAGTCATAATTCCCATTTTTTGTGTTGATCACACACAGATGATAAGTTAATTACACTTACAGAGTTTTACAACATATATAAAAGATAATCTTCAATTTGAAGACTAATTTGTGAGTTACCATCTGTTTTAGACCAAAGAAAATAGAAATTTGATTCTAAACCTTTTTTCCGAACAGCTTGTAATAAGAGCTGTTTGTATATTAATTACTTATTGAATTATTATGGATTTTAGTGTTTTAATTTACAAGCAATTTGGAGCTTATTGTGGTGACATCTGCTCATATTTTGATACTTTATGGCATTTAACATTTTCATCGTAAGGCTTAAACCTCCCCTCCCCCCGATAATTTACAACCAAATCCCAAAAACAGTGATTTGCTTTCTACTTTAGCTTAGTCTAAAGCATGTTGTTCTGTTTCGCCTTCACCGGAGATTTTTTCCATAATTAAATTTTTTTCATTTTATACACAAAATCAATATCCCTTTATGCCTGCCTCTTTCTGTCTTTTAATTTCTGTTCAAAGAGTTGTAGATGAATTTTGTATAAATCTCATTATTTTTCTTGCCCTGGTTATTACTTTTATCTTGTATATCCTCAAGATTTCTTTTTCTTTCTTTTAATGTACTGTAATGAAACTTAGGGGTCTGTGAACCTCCCTGTAGAAGCTCTTTAATTTCCTTCCTTTAAACGGCATAACTATAAATATGACTGTGGGAATAATTTGCTCAAATTTCCTGAAAACATTTTATGAGGTTCCATATAAATTCAGTAATAAGGAACACCTTCACTCCTAGCCTTGCCCATGGTCTTGAATTATATTAAACCTGGCACCGTTTTATTATCACTTCAGACTGTTGAATAAGGATTTAAAGAAAATGATGGGCATTTGATTTCCTTGGTACTTGAGTTTTTAGATGACTTTTGGTAATTCAGACTCTCTAGGAAGCTGGATTCATTCAAAACCGAAACCATTTTGCAAAAAGGAAAGTACATCTCCTGAGGTAAATGCTGGCTGGCTGGATTGTGCTTAGAGTGACGGAAAGGTAGAAATAAAATTTGGTGTAAAGGATGATCTTCTTGTGAAATAGGAAACTGGCTTCTTCAAAACTCAGTGCAGATAGAACCCTTATAGAAGGGCAGTGTGTGAGAACGAGAAGTAAGAATTTGAGATTTGAAAGCCTTTGCTTTGCTTCCTTTTAGGGAGCCAACGTGGAAGCGATTGCAACCTTTTTGGGTGTGCATAGTCCCGGAGGCGGGATAGTGACAGGTATAGCAGGGTTACCCGAAAACATCAGCTCGATTGATACCCGGTTTCGCTAAAGCATGTTGTCTTCATGCAAGTTGTGCAGACTTTACCACCTGCATATAGCACTGTCTGCGAAGATATTTCACATGGATAGCAGTTTATCACTAAGTAATAGCACTTGGAGTATCGGAGCTGACAGTAATTTTATCTAGCTTGAGACTTTCAGAATTTCTACACACATGGTAATGCCGGACTGGCTCTTTTAACTTCTCTCCTTTCCCCCTTGCATATACAACCCAAGCAGCTATGTGTAAGGACAAAGATAGAAACAATGCAGCAATAAAATTTGTTAATTTGAAATGAGATGGAAGAGAAATACGAAGGAATGAGCAGGGTGGTAGAGGTGAACATCCCCCAAGATGTTGCTATGTGCAAAGAGAGTTGCTATGTGTAAAGATTTTTCAGTCTGCCTTTCGATCTCTCTCAGGCTGGTTCCTGCAGGCTGGCGCCTTGTGGGGTCCGTGACAGATGCTGGCCGCTCACTGGTTCGAAGGTCTACACATGAAGTCACCGTAACGGTAAGCAGCCTTGTGCCAATGGATCCCAGTCCCCCTCCCTGAAATGCATTTGACAGTAGAATTGGATTTTGCCAAAAGCGAACACCTGTTTTGCAATGATTTTTTTTTTTTTTTTCAAAAGGAAGTTGCAGGTCTTTCTCTTCGCTGACATTGGATGTAGTGGGTAGAACATCAGAATGTCTTTAAATCATTATGAGATGAGGTGTGTGGCCAATTATGAATGAATAATGTGCCTTTTATACCTTTTAGGAATTTGGGGCACTAATTGAGGCTTAATAAACTTTTCTGAGCCTTAACCATGAGAGGGTGACACCTTTAAAAATCAATGTCTCCTATCAACATTATGAATTACAGTTAAGCTGAAACACTAACCATAATTGGGCACATGAGTTTAGATTGTATTTGACTCCTGTATCTTAATTCTGTGCTTTATTATTTCTCAGTAGGATTTGTGTCTATCTGCACATTGACTTGCTGGTTAACCTTGAAACTTATTAGGGGATCACGAGGGGTTACTATTGATAAATCTACTGAGATACCAGCACTTTCAGAACACAAAGCAAATAGTTGAGTGTGTGTGTGTTGAAGTCCACATCCAGGTAAAACTGGTAATAGCCCCAGAAATTCTGGAAAAGTTGATACCTTGGGGCTGGGGGTGCAACTCACGGTAGAGAGCTTGCTTAGCGTGTGTGAGCCCTGGGAATTTTGGGAGTTTTTTTATTTACTTCTGTCAATTTTTTTCATTCTTTTTAGTAACTATCTCCTCAAAACAGACCCACATAACGTAGTTTCTGTTATTTTAAAACATAAAGAATGAACTTTGGAGATCTTTATTTTACTATTTTAAGAGAACTGACCAGCTAAAGTAAGTTGCGTAAATTTAACTAAAATAAGACCCTTATTATTTGAGGTATTTTCAGTTCATGGACTTAGTTTTCCATTATTCTGAGGAAGACAGCTATATTCGTGCGGGGAAGATGTCTTGATCATATCTGCCACCCAATGCAGAGCTCGTAAACAGAAGCATAATTTTGCTGAACATTTCTGTTCCTACACTAAACTGTTCTTGAACACCAGTTTCTGTAAACTGAGGCGTTACTGTAGGTATATTGCATTAACCATTTAAAACATACATAAACATTTTGACATTATTTGACTTAGATACTTGAAAGACATACTTCAGCAAAAATAAAACTTGCAAAAGATTGAATTTTATGACTAATTCTTTGACTTAGGGTAATGACTTAGCACAGGCTTCATCATGTTAAAGGGAAGGTGGGCAAGGGCATCTGTTTCTCGTCCATATTTTGATTGGGTATTAATTGGGTATTCAGGAAACACAGCTTCAACTTAATTAAATCAGATACACATTGATCAATCCCTTCTGAGTGTGAGGTCTTTGTAAGTGACTTTGGAGTTTTCATAGTCTCTGATAAGTCATTGTGCCATTGGTACATGTACTGGCCCTCTGATGTTGTCCCCAGAGGTGGCCCTGTGTCACTTACCAACCACAGAAGCTGCAGCTCAGCCGGAAGGCTGTGGATAATAATGCGTAAGTAGCACACATCAGAAAATGAGGGCTGTCAACCGTGTCCATTAGGCCCACCTGGTTGGAGCTTAGCATGCGTGTCTTTCAGAGCCATCCATAGCAGATGATGGTAATGTGTTTTTTTGCTTTCAGTTTTAAAGTGCTGGGTATGTTTATCAGGCAAGAGGATTTTAACTGGGAAGGGGAGGGGCCATTGTCCTCCCACGTAAAAACAGGAACATCTTTAGTGGAACAGGAAAGATGGAGCAGGGTTTAGTGTCTTAGTCGGTTTTTTGGTACTATGAGGATATGCCTGAGGATTATGAAGAAGAGAGGTCTATTTAGCTGACTGAGGTTGAAAGTCTAAGCAACACAAGCTGCTCTGGTGTGTGCCACCTAGACTGTATGACCTCATGGCGGGTGGCATCTCAAGGGCAGAGAATATCATACCAAAAACAGGAAGCCAGAGCAGGGCCCTGCCCAGTCTGAGGACCTCCCTGCAACAGGCGCCACCTCCTAAGGGTCAGCCGCCTCAACTGTACCACACTGTGGAGCAGGCTTCCTGCATGAGGACCCTCAGGGGACACTCCAGACCATCTGGTCACAGATGTCTGCCATGGGCCAAGTCTTCAATAGGCTAGGCTTTGTGGGCCAGGCACACTGTTGCAGAAACTCGTGCCTACCATCATAGCCTCAAGCCAGCAGAAACCATGTGCAATGAACGGACATATCCAGTGCCCTTCAAGTGGTGTTTGTAGGCTTTGACATCAAGCTGGAGTTCACTGACCTGACCTGGAGGAACACAAGTGTTTGGAGTTGAGGCACCACAAGGCCCACTGATACAGTTAAGCATCCATATCACGGTCACTTTGCAAGGCCATACAACTCTCCGGGGAGCCATGACTGTTGTGCAAGGTATTTGCGACCTGACTTCCACACAGTGGGGAATGGCTTTGGACCTGTGTGACTCTTGTAACTCAGGGAAGTCACATAAGGCTGCAGCAACCATCCCAACACCCAGGCACAGTTGGGAATGTCTGAAGAAATCCTCCGTGCCTAGGTCAGCCCCTTGCCACAGGGCACACTCCTGCTGCCAATGTCGAGGTGAGGCCAAGGCCCTCTGCTCGCTGCTGCTACTGCTGGTGTTCTGTTTCACATTCTAAATGCTCCCAGTCTTGTGGCTGTGGAATTTTAAGCTGGTGAGTGTTTAATTACAAAACCTAGTGCCTGTGTTGGGTGGCATAAACATGAGGGTGGTTGGACTCTACTTTTTATTTACTGATTTGTTTTTCCAGTTTTCTTTGTGATTCTTTAGATGGAAGCACTAAAAACTGTTATAGCACCAAGATCTGTATGGAGTCCAGGCTGCCTTGCAGAGCTTTTGTGTGCACAGAGAAAGCTGCAGCTCTAAGTATATGACCCTACTTAGGACCCATCTGAATGCAGAAAAGGGATATTTCTGTATATGTGGCCCCAACTAATTCCTGCAAATTGAGCTGAAAAGTCACTGGCCTAGAGGTTTTGTAACAAGCCCATATATAGTCCTGAAATTGCTTTGTGGGTCTAGTGTACGTTGCGTAGAAACTGCATTCAACCTGTCTATGTGCAAATTAATTTCTCCCTGGAAAATCTGTCCTGTTGATCTAGTGGGCATCAGAAGTGTCCACTTAAAGACAAAAGTCATTAGGAAAGTAGTAGCCCAAGCATACGGGCCACTCGGGACACTGAACTTGAAATCTTGGGGACATAAACTTTCATTTAACTGGCTAGAGAGGAGAAAGATACGAAAGGGAAATTGTGTTCTTTGTCTTACGTATATAGTCTGGCTCATGTGGTGTGGACTTTCTTAGCATGATTTGCTATTACTAGGTTGAGCATTGTCAGAGTGATCCCTTCAGGGCCTCCTTTATACCTTTCCTGCCACCAGAGCATCTGCCGTTGACCTGCTCAGTGATGGAATTTGACTGGAAACCATGGAGTATTGTGTTCCTTTGAAGAGTGGGATTCTTCCTCCAACACAAGATCCCTCTTCTCTGCCCTTCCAAACCTATAGCTTCATTTTCTACTTAGCTGTTCTCATGCTGGTTATTTCTGAAGACATTGCCAGGTTTTAATTATATTTTAATAAATGTGAAAACAGCTCATGTTCATAGTAGAAAACACAGAAAATACAAAAGTAAATACATACAGAAGGAAGTCGAACCTAGTTCGACCCTGAGAAACAAGCATAAATGCAGTTTGGTGGGTTGGTTCTATTTGTGTGCATGTGTAGGGACATGTGTGCACAAAGCAAAATGTAGCATCATTCATGGTGCATCTTGAAGACTAATTTTTCTATTTTCTCCAGCCTTGAAATAGTCCTTTAATGGGTGTAGTGCCTCTTGAGTCTTCTGTTTTATCCACATATTTAAATGGTACACTACTGAACATTTGAAATTGGGGAAAGAAAAAATAATTCTTTGATTGTATTCCTGATTTTGAACGATTTGACTTCAGGTAAATAAATATACGTGCAAAAGTGGTAAAAAGCTTTCCTTTTGTGGAAAATATTTCTTACTGTGGGGAAAAACATATATGCATATATATGTATATGTGTATATATGTATACATACATATACATGCATGTGTACATATACCATCACATATGCTCATGATAAATGAAGATAAGTATATGAAAGAAAGCAACCAACATAAAACCACTGTTGATATTTTGATATACTTCTTCTTGATCTTTTCCTACTATGTATTTGGGATCAAGTTGTAAATGCATGCTGGCCCTCTCTTTGGCTTTGTTGTATGTCCTCACACACACAACTTCGGATTTGAGATGCTATCATCTTCCCATTGTACAGCTTTAAAAATTTTGATTCAGACACCTTAAGATCACAGTGTTTAATGTCAGACAGTATCACTTTAAATCCTTGTTTCACTACGATTTAATTTGGTCTTCACCTCCTAACTCTTCATTTCCTTAACTTATAAAGTGGTAATAATAGGAGTAACAGTCGTATTTGTGTTACTGTGTGACAGAGAAGTAAAATACACTGTGGAAGGCGTTTAGCACTTGGGCGTCCTACCTAGCAAGCATACTATGTCTGTGAAATATTGCTTTCTAAATCATTTGAGTGGCAGCATATTTCCCATGTGTGTTTTCTGTAGTTTATTTAATCCTGCTGTCTTTGGACAATAAGCTACATACTGGCTTAATTACAGTTATGTGGGAGGATAAAGACATGCAGAGTGACAAAGCAAATCTGTTTCCTCCCCCAAACGAACTGGTTCCCATGCAGATCTTAGAGCAGGTGCATTGGGATTTATATGTAAAATTGAATGTGTACATTAGCATTGTTTTTCAGGTAGCTACCAATTATGAAATGCGAATAGACTCAGTTTAGAGAGAAAGTTGGTGTGGGAAAAGTAACCCTGGAGGTAAGAATGCTTACAGGCAACCCATAGACTCAGAAGCTGAACC